TATTAAATAGCCTACTGTTAGAGTTATATAATGTAGTCTTGTGTTTTATTAAAGTTGATTATAATTTATATCTCAAAAGGACATGCACTTGTGCGCGGCATGAGCTACTCGCACTGCAACGCAAGATTTTCATAAAATATAATAACTTGCCATTTCGGTTTGTTTCTCACCAAACCCTCAGTATACCTTCAGAATGCTTGGAATATACGCCACGAGATGCATATGATTATTTTACGATAGATATGCATCCGCTTCAAAATAACAAACAAAACCTAAAGTCACCATTCTCTGCCATTAAATTGGCAAGTGCGTGCAGGACATTTTTGTGTTATTAAGTAATAAGTCTTTAGAACAACATTAAGGTGAGTAGTCACTCTAGTTCACACAGTTCCAATAAATTGCGATGGGTTAAATAAACTCAATAAGCAGACAGACGCAACTACAGTCAAGCACAGATCAGTATTGAAGTGCACAGGAAATAAGCAGCAGTTATATTTAAAGCAGTTTAAATTAATATTGAGTACTGATTGATGTTCACTTGGATTTTTTCCCCATCGAGGGGAAATAACTTAATACTCTGTCATTTATAGTCTTAAGAAAGGGGCGTTTAATTCCCGCCCACATGTAGAAATCGAATATTCAAGCTATTTATTCATTTTTCCACCCATTAATGAAAAACGAAACGTTTTTTTTTCCAAAAAAGGAGCCATTTTCTCATTTTTCTACTTTCAATATTAAAAGGAATGATCGAATGATACACGGATTGCTATTCTTGCTTGTTTTCTTTGTTACTCCCCCAGCTATTAGAGTGCATTATAAACTTCTTGTTGTTGTGTGTTGTGCTTAAATGCATCTTAAAATGCAGCAGTAATAATTTTTGGGCTCCTGAGATGTGTGATGGTAGGTTTTTACATCATCATTTAGGGACGTCCCTTCTACAACAGACATTACTCAGAATCGGATGAGGACAGTGTTCGTCGGGTAACTACGAAACCATTGATAAACTCCCTGTATCTAATCATGATAGAGTCACCCATCACCCACTGATTCCTAATCTGTTTTCTTCTCATAGATCATTGATTTAGAGTGGTGCCGTCTTGTGATCCACCTCTTATCTAAACCTCTAAACCTTTTCATCTCATTCTTCTTTCATCTTCTAACTGGTGGCAAGCTCTCCTTTCCCATACTGTAAACCCATATGCAGGGTTCCCACGGCTCCTGAAGTCAGGACATTTTAAACTCTGATTTTAAATGGCATGTAAAAATCATGGAAATTTAGCTGTGCTTGGAAAAATATGTAATTGACTAACAATTGCGGTTTATGAGTGAAATCTTTATTAAAAAAAATTTTTTTTTTTAAATTCTAGAAATTATGAATGACTAGAGAAGCCACAGAAGTCTTTAGTCAAAATGTGTAGGAACCCTGCATGTGATTTCCTGCATGCATTGCGTTTTTGTGCAGTAATATCTGAAGTGTTTATTTTTGTGGTTTTCTGCTGCTTCTCATAGAAACGTTTCTTTTTTTTTTTTTTAAGTCAAAATGTCAAATGAGAGTCTTTTTTCATTGACAGTAAAGGAATAATTCACAGATCAGCTATGCACTGTATTTGATATCACAACAGACCAACGTTATAAGCTATAGATAAAAAAAAAAGTATTGACACAAGACATAGTTGGCTTTTGGACATGGGACAAGTCAATGATGTTGTAATTTTTTTGCCTCCGTTATTACTCTGGGTGCTTAATAACATACTTTTTTTGTTGTATCTCTCAGCTGACAGAAGAAAAATGGAGTTTTTACCATTCATCTCGCTCCCACATACACAGACCCTCCTGTGTGGCAGTAGAGGTAGAGAGACTTAACACTATGCTTCTCGAAAGGAAAATTGGTAAATCCATCCTAGGCAAGGTAAGGAAATTGTGTCATGTGTTTATAAACCTGTTCCTGAAACTATCTGACAAATATCTTTATATTGTCATACATTATTCCTTGGGACTCATGCATTTTTGCTTAAAGGTGAAGACCCAACTCTATGCATGTTCTGCAAGACTCACCTTTCTATTAAACATATTCTTTTTGACTGTCCCGGTTTTAATGCAAGTAGAAAGCTCTTTTATGAATTTAGTTTACTTAAGGTCTTATTTAGGAAGATTTTGCCTGAAAAGGTTTTAGAATTTTTATCATATGTTAGTTTAAAAAATCTTGTATAATATTACTTGCTGTGTTTGTTTGGTTTTTATTGTATTATGTGATATTTGCATTTTTGTAATTGGGTTTTTGCCATGAAAATAGCCTCAGATGCTGACATGGCATTAAATAAAATTATACTACTACTACTACATTTATTCCTTGGTTAGGTCAACCAAAAATTTTAATTTTGTGATGGTTTACTCACCCTCATGTCATTTTAAACCCATAAGACATCTTCGAAACACAAAGTAAGATATTTTCATTACTTTGTGGGGGCGGTTTCCCGGACAGGATTTAAATTAAAACAAGAGTAGACCTTAATATAGAATAGTTAATCATGTCTTTAAAAATGGCTTTCTGAAACACAGATTAAGTACAGATTAACTGATGACGGCACGGTTTGATCTTCGGCTGACCAATCAGCAGAAAGGGGCGTTTAATTCCCGCCCACATGTAGAAATCGAATATTCAAGCTGTTTATTCATTTTTCCACCCATTAATGAAAAACGAAACGTTTTTTTTTTCAAAAAAGGAGCCATTTTCTAATTTTTCTACTTTCAATATTAAAATGAATGATCGAATGATACACGGATTGCTATTCTTGCTTGTTTTCTTTGTTACTCCCCCAGCTATTAGAGTGCATTATAAACTTCTTGTTGTTGTGTGTTGTGCTTAAATGCATCTTAAAATGCAGCAGTAATAATTTTTGGGCTCCTGAGATGTGTGATGGTAGGTTTTTACATCATCATTTAGGGACGTCCCTTCTACAACAGACATTACTCAGAATCGGATGAGGACAGTGTTCGTCGGGTAACTACGAAACCATTGATAAACTCCCTGTATCTAATCATGATAGAGTCACCCATCACCCACTGATTCCTAATCTGTTTTCTTCTCATAGATCATTGATTTAGAGTGGTGCCGTCTTGTGATCCACCTGTTATCTAAACCTCTAAACCTTTTCATCTCATTCTTCTTTCATCTTCTAACTGGTGGCAAGCTCTCCTTTCCCATACTGTAAACCCATATGCAGGGTTCCCACGGCTCCTGAAGTCAGGACATTTTAAACTCTGATTTTAAATGGCATGTAAAAATCATGGAAATTTAGCTGTGCTTGGAAAAATATGTAATTGACTAACAATTGCGGTTTATGAGTGAAATCTTTATTAAAAAAAATTTTTTTTTTAAATCCTAGAAATCATGAATGACTAGAGAAGCCACAGAAGCTTATCTAAACCTCTAAACCTTTTCATCTCATTCTTCTTTCATCTTCTAACTGGTGGCAAGCTCTCCTTTCCCATACTGTAAACCCATATGCAGGGTTCCCACGGTTCCTGAAGTCAGGACATTTTAAACTCTGATTTTAAATGGCATGTAAAAATCATGGAAATTTAGCTGTGCTTGGAAAAATATGTAATTGACTAACAATTGCGGTTTATGAGTGAAATCTTTATTAAAAAAAATTTTTTTTTTTAAATCCTAGAAATCATGAATGACTAGAGAAGCCACAGAAGTCTTTAGTCAAAATGTGTAGGAACCCTGCATGTGATTTCCTGCATGCATTGCGTTTTTGTGCAGTAATATCTGAAGTGTTTATTTTTGTGGTTTTCTGCTGCTTCTCATAGAAATGTTTCTTTTTTTTTTTTTTAAGTCAAAATGTCAAATGAGAGTCTTTTTTCATTGACAGTAAAGGAATAATTCACAGATCAGCTATGCACTGTATTTGATATCACAACAGACCAACGTTATAAGCTATAGATAAAAAAAAAAGTATTGACACAAGACATAGTTGGCTTTTGGACATGGGACAAGTCAATGATGTTGTAATTTTTTTGCCTCCGTTATTACTCTGGGTGCTTAATAACATACTTTTTTTGTTGTATCTCTCAGCTGACAGAAGAAAAATTGAGTTTTTACCATTCATCTCGCTCCCACATACACAGACCCTCCTGTGTGGCAGTAGAGGTAGAGAGACTTAACACTATGCTTCTCGAAAGGAAAATTGGTAAATCCATCCTAGGCAAGGTAAGGAAATTGTGTCATGTGTTTATAAACCTGTTCCTGAAACTATCTGACAAATATCTTTATATTGTCATACATTATTCCTTGGGACTCATGCATTTTTGCTTAAAGGTGAAGACCCAACTCTATGCATGTTCTGCAAGACTCACCTTTCTATTAAACATATTCTTTTTGACTGTCCCGGTTTTAATGCAAGTAGAAAGCTCTTTTATGAATTTAGTTTACTTAAGGTCTTATTTAGGAAGATTTTGCCTGAAAAGGTTTTAGAATTTTTATCATATGTTAGTTTAAAAAATCTTGTATAATATTACTTGCTGTGTTTGTTTGGTTTTTATTGTATTATGTGATATTTGCATTTTTGTAATTGGGTTTTTGCCATGAAAATAGCCTCAGATGCTGACATGGCATTAAATAAAATTATACTACTACTACTACATTTATTCCTTGGTTAGGTCAACCAAAAATTTTAATTTTGTGATGGTTTACTCACCCTCATGTCATTTTAAACCCATAAGACATCTTCGAAACACAAAGTAAGATATTTTCATTACTTTGTGGGGGCGGTTTCCCGGACAGGATTTAAATTAAAACAAGAGTAGACCTTAATATAGAATAGTTAATCATGTCTTTAAAAATGGCTTTCTGAAACACAGATTAAGTACAGATTACTTACACCTGGGGCCCGTTCTTCGTACATCGCTAACTCAGTTAGCTGGATTTGATTGTTGATGATTTGGCATGATCTTGGATCATTTGGTTCTTCGAAGCTCATCCCGGAGTTGCTGTCATAGCAACAGGTCCGTAAGCTTAAACCTGCTCGGGAGCAGGCTTATTTCATGTTAACAGGATTAGATTGCATCTTTTTAAGCAGAATTGATACTTAAAATCTGTCCCAGCCACCGCTACTTTATTACAAGAGTACCCTACTAATCCAGGGAAAATAATTTAAAATAATAATCATTTAAACATTTATTTAAAGATAATATAATAATATTGTGTAGCCTTTAATACTATAGATGCAGCCGGTTTTACTCACTGAGAGATTTATTCGTCATAAAA